TACAAGTTTTACGACTGACGCCGGAGCCACTTGAAAATGGAAGGGCAATAGACATCGTCACTAAGAGCACTACTGCTCAGGACTCGGTGAAAGATCAAGGCGCGCTGTGAAAAACTTAAGTAATTTCTGTTAAAACAACCAGTTCCATCCGCTAATTTGTGTGATTTCGAATGAGGACACTAAGGAATCGAATCTAAATTGGTCGCACTATTCCTCAGTATGGGGGAGAAGGGAAGCGTATTATTTATATCGGCATTCACTTCTACATTACTCTTTTTCATTTTGCAACTAATGTTTTTGATCTCGTCTATACAGCAATAAAATTGTTACCGACCCTTAGTGAGATTTAAAGTCAGAATCATATATGAGGAGTATCTTGTGAATAAACTCCTTTCGGGTGGCTGGATTGTCGGCTGCAAGAGCTTATAATACTCTCTTGCGGCTGATAAAGTCTACGACTGAGAGATCGTGTTAGTCAAAATATATACCTGGCCGGCATCTGCAGACCATTTTGAAGCTCCTTGACACGTTTTTGATGCTGCATTCTCAGTAAGGGTGAGTTTTATGTTTTTGTCACACCTTTCCTGTATCAGGTGATATTGGATTTCCCACAGTCTGAATTCCAAACGTCCTGCGTCGAAGGTAGGAATGGATGAAAAGGTTCCCGGCCCTTCGGGTGGCCTTTAAAATGAGCACAAGTATGGAAAGGCCCCTTTCCCGCACAGAAATCATAAAGAAAAATTCAGCAAAAGCCGAAAGTGTAGTTTTCGCCGAAAAAATAGCTCAATTTGGACGAGGATCGCGCCCACTTTGAGGTTAGAGTATTAGTTTGCCGCGGCGATAGAATAGCTGTAATAGGGTTTGGCGTATTTGGTAAGTTACACATATTCAATTCGCGTTCTTTTTCTCCACTTTGTATGATTATTTGCTTATTCGAAAAGAAATCCCTGATTTTCTGCACCTCTGACGGTTGAAGACCTGCGAAATTGTGAGCCAAGCCATGTAAGGGAATTAAACCACTATTGAGCTATTTTGCCTGCAATACGATAATTTCCTCGTCCTAAAAGCTGTTTTTATCTGCTTAATTATAATTTATCGATGTGCACATAGCAATAATATGCCTGTCTTCTCGCTTTTTCGCGCCAAGCGCAGTTCATAAATGTTGGAAATAATCATTCTTTACACCGTTATCATCCACAGAATATGGATGCGAAGGATTCCAGTGCAAGTGGCTACGGCCAATTAAAAAGTTGAGATCAAAGCCAAAAAGAAATTTCCATAAGATGCTCCTCATAGCTGCTCTTATATTCGCTTTATTATGGCTTCCAATTAAAATTAATGTTATGCTTGGACCTTACAACCGTTCTCCCTCTACTTTAACTCCTACTCACGATCGTCAATTCCTGGCACTCTTCTAGACCTGTGGTAATTGTGTGAAAAATCCAATTATCTAAATTGTATTTGGCCGGGATTTTAAGGGAAAGTTTCAAGGCGATCTGCCCCTTCCTACCCTGCTTCGATGCTGAACTGTGAACAGCCAAACCAGGAATACTATCGAGATCATTTTCGCTGTAAAACACAATGGTCACAGCAGTCTTAGCCTGACGAAATTGATAAAGGCTGACAGCTAGAAGAACTTCACGTTTCAGCTCTTCGAAAACTACCAATAAATGATTGGATTGCTCTTCGTGAATATAACAACATTTTGGGAAGCATGAGATGGAAGTCAACTTGCAAATGGTGCGAAACGTTTCAGTTCCTGGAAACAAGTGGACTTCACACATGGAAGAATATGAAAACGCCCAATGTCTAGAGTGTATGTAACTGGGAAAATTTCGGAAACCCATGCAATCCCTCTTGGTGTACTTCAAGAGTATTTACTAAATACTTTTGATTAGACTTATTCTTACTAGTTATCTACAGGTCTTCACTTTGTAGGCTGGCATCTACATACATAGCAAACGTTTCCCACTACTCCAAGTGAAAATAATGCATGGAAAGGTAATCACGTGCCCTAATGCGTCATAAACATTTCTCACCCTGGCGGAACTCCAGTGCGTTAGCAGAGCGTTCATATTTCAGAAAATAAGGCGGTTGTTTCACTTAACGAGCGCTTTCCTCGGCACGGAATAGATAGCACAACCAAATAGCGCTTCATAATCATATTTCAGGTTTTTTGTAAAATGTTTTGCATATGTTCAGTTAGTTGATGTAATATTGGCCAGCAATTTATGCCATTCATTTCCAAGCAACTTAAATAAGGTAAAGCCCATTTCATTGGGAAACAAGCCAAGGTTGAATATTTGTGATCTCCTGGATGACTAAACATGAAATCTGCGATAGAATGATTAGAAGTGACTGATTGGCTTCGAAATTCTACTTTGTCAAGAAAAAGTGATTATCTCTGTGGACCTTTAACAAGAGAGACTAGAGTGACTAGCATGTAAGATTGATTAGCATCTGATTTCTCCTTACAATATCGCCCCAAATTCACACATAAGGGTCACAAGAAAGAAGGACATAATCACAAATGATAGAAGCTCTGATTGTTAAACAAATTCTCCTTGTCAGCATCCTGGGAAATGCATTGAGAACAGTATGGAGAATATGTCTACTGATGTTAGGGTGTAAAGGGTTAAAAGGCTGGTGAAAAACCAACGGTCAAGGTTTAAGACAAACCTCGGTTCTTAGGTGTGACGGCGGTGAGGAAGTGAAATTATCCAATTATAGTTCATTTTGATATTTCAATGCAATCGTACTTAATGAATTAAAACTTAAAAGTTGCTTTTAAAGGAAACAGATTTAGCGTTTGCAACGACTGCCAAGTTCCAAAACGAAGCAAATCGAAACGAGTCCTAGGCGTTTCGCAACTAATGAGTGACTCTACAGGTTGTTCCCAAAGACAAATAACCCACGGAAAACCAAAGCTGACGGTTATCGGCGATTTATTGCATCAGAATAAAAGATCGTAAACCGAAGCAACAACGCAACAGATTTTTATCAATTTAGCGGAAAAAAGTTGCGTACTAAAAGCCAAAACTTACAGGAGACAAATGAACGATTTTGAGTATATAGCGTACTGAAATTGAAAAAAACTACATAAATGATGTACCAGCATAAAAACTATGTAAAACACCATACGATATCCAATCAAAGAATTACATATTAAAAAAGGAACTAATTAACAGCCTTAGGCTCTCGAACTTAAGACGGTCGGCGTTCTCTCTGGTAGCGTCAAGAGCGTTTTCTAATTTACACTGTTATAAATTAGTTCACGTTGCTCAATAACGTTCATTTGTATTCTTTCGCCTAGAACCATTCAACGTGACCTAAACAAAATGACAAAGGTACTCACGTATCGATCCCGCTTGAGTCAATGGTTAAGAATTAAGAAACGTCGAGAGTGTGAGGTTGACAAGGCCACGCAAAATTTAACGAAAAACTACCCTATGAGAATGCGGACTCAGCTTATATATGTATGTGTTGACGCTAAAAAGTCCGATTAGAAAGTCAATTAAATCAAAAATAATTGTTGCCACTACGTGCGTAACTACGATATAGTGATAGAGAGACAATTATTAACTAATCAAAATGGGTCTTTGTCTAGCGTCCTTAACACCAACTCTAGTTGAATGTCAAATAAATTTGGTCTAAGATTTAATCAGATGGGCTGTTTTGTCTACACCTGCCTTTGCTGTAAACGTTAGCCATGCTAAATCACGACATCGTCGAATAATTTTCCCTGGAAAAATGTATAATTAGTATATGTAATCACATGAGGCCAAGTGCTATTAAGGATTAATTGCACGAGAGTTTTCAAAATTTTCCAAAATTGCCCGAGTCGCGAAGCGACGAGGGCAATTTGGAAAATTTTGAAAACTCAAGTGCAATTAATCCTTAATAGTACGAGGTCTCATGGGATTACTTGTTTATCAATAAAGGGCAAAATTTATACGAAGGAAAATCACGCGCGCACGGATTAGCCAATCATTAACAGGTAATCATGCCCTCTCTTGATTACTAAAAATGCCCTCGATTAAGAAAAAAATGCCCTCTCTCTCAACCAATCAGCGCTCAGTAATTTTGCCCTTTATTGATAAATGAGTAAAGTGTTTGGCGCGTTCAGTCTCTAACTACATAGTCAATTATACTGGCGTTTCCTTTCAATCTTAAAGAAAAAGGGCGACAGAGGAACACAGAAGTCCAAAAAGCAAAAGTAGGAAAGTACTAGGCATGCACTTTAAATATAATAAAAACCTTCTAAGACAATTGGGGAGTGACAATTAAGGATGAGGCGTCGTTGGCCAAATGATAAACACTATGAGACACTTTTAGCGGGGCTAGTAGTGAGACAGGTGCATGACAATAAAGCTATCTAATGAATGGTCATTTTGATAGTTTAATGGAAATGTTTAATTCAGTAAATTTTTAAAGTGTTTGTCCATGAAAATATACAGTTGATACAAAAAGCCTTTAACTCTATCTAAACTGCATATAACGAGTTAAAATTAAATTTGTAATTTAATAAGAATTTTTATATTGTCTACAACTGCTGCTGTAGACAATGCGAGCATTTACAAAGTTGCTACATCTTATCGTTTTCATTTTCAAAGAAAAAATTGCTCGAACTAAAAAGGGGCAATAATAAGGAGAGCCTCCTCTTATGAATGATTTTTTTTTTATTTTTGCGAATCTTTCGGTATTTATTTTGTTCAATGTAAAGAGATGAAATTATTTGATATGTGTCATTTGATCTGTTAGACACCTCGCTTCAAACAGAAAAAAAGTTCTTTGTTAAGTTTTAGTGAATATAAATACTTGATTCGATTAGCTCCAATCCACCGAGTCTCTTTTCTCACTATTAACTTATCATCCCTTCTCATGGAATGTTAAATTCTCAAATTTATCCAAGAGCGTCGAAAATATTCAGAAGTTCACTTTGTATATAAAACAACCCATCAGCTTGCCATACTATTGTAATCGCTATTTTTCTCCACTTTTAGCGTTGAAATGATATGCGTTTAATAGTTTAGCAACAAAACACTCGGGCTGCTAATAATTTTGAAATGCACTTAAAGAAGCCAGCTGGTTAAACAACTGAAAAAATAAAATACTTCCTGGATGACACTGTTTCCAAATTGACTTTGGTCTGATGACTATCAACAACATGAAGTTCACGGTGATTACCTTACTTACGCTGCTTCTAGGAGCTTTGGAAGGTAGTATGTCAAAGTAGAACGTGCATGCTTCTAAAACCATTGTGGAGATCCTCAGGCTCGAAAAAGCAACATCTATAGAGCACTCTTTGAAATTTGTCTTCATGTTGCTCTCTCATACAATATAGCTTGACTCTTCAATCATCATGCCAAAATAACTTCTGCCTGTTATCGAATCACTCCCGATTGCTACCTTACGTTTTCAATCGATTAATCGTTTTTTTCGAAATTTTGCGGGCACCTATATCCTAAAAAATTATAAATTTCATCATCTCATTATCATCTTCACCATCTTTGGGAGTGATTTCCCAATGTCTTAACCGATGTATCTCTAATTTATCCATTTCTTTATAACCATTTCTTTCTTAGTCTTTCTTTCTTATTTTACCTCTTCTCTATTTCTTCCTCTTTACCAAGTGAACAGTTTGATGTGCTATCAGTGCGAAAGCTATTCATCTCCAGCTGATTGCGCATCAAAGGAGATTCAGACCACGTGTGTAGCTGGGTCAGTCAGATGTGCCACAGTGGAAGCAAAGTATGAAAGCGACAGCATATCTTCGCTAGTTATTGTGAAAGGTTTGTTTTAGTTTAGAATGTTTAAATGGTCTATTTGGCTTGTTTTTTGGGAAAATTTTATTCTGAGAGCCGTTTGAAAACAGATCTCTCTATAAATTTTCCCACTCTCATTGATTTATGATACATAAAGATGAGAAATGATCGAACGAGCGACTTATGAAACCCAAAGTTGACGTTCTCAACTCACTAGTGTTGTTTATCTGTATTCAAGAATTGATATGTTCCTGGCCTCTTCCCACCCATCCTCCATTCGCTTTTCAGTTTTACTTCTTCTTTATTTGTTTGTCTTTTTGTTTGTTTTATGTATCAAGGTTGCGCACCTACCGCTGCTTGCGATGGGGAAATCGATATCTGTAGCCAAGGAGAGGGAATGGACTGCGACATACAGTGCTGTTCAGGAGACTTGTGCAACGGTTATTACGTTGAAGGTTAGTAACTGTGTTAAATAAATCACCTTAAACATTTGGAGGCGATGTAACTTCTACAATTTGCAGCGGGCTTTAAATCAAACGTTCAGCGCTGTTGGCTTCGAAAAGCAACAGGTTTGCAACTGTGTAGACTGCACACGAGTAACGCTTAATTTTTTTGTTTTCATGTCTGTGTCTTAACGTCGAATCTTTATTTACTTCTTGACATCTTAGGAAGTGTTGTGAAGGATTCCTTCTGCCATACATGTGTCAGCAACTCCTCAATGGCCGACTGCATTGAGAGTCAAACACAAGAACAATGCTCTCTCAAGGAAAACCGTTGTGGGGTCATGTTTGCCCATCAGGGAGAAATATCGTTGTTTCGCAAAGGGTGCATCCCGGATGATTTTTGCTCTTCTCTATGTCAAAATGGACACATTGAAGGCGATCCAAGTATCGAGTGCGAATTACACTGCTGTGAAGGAAGCCTTTGCAATGATGAAAATATGGGAGCTAAATGAATTTCTTGAGAAAGGCAAGCTTTAAACAAGTTTCGTGGCTGTTAACTGATTGTGAGAACTTATTCCCAAGTCTGAGTTAAAGTGTTGCAATGGTTGATTTTCACTTTTGTTTGATGATGATGAAATGTGAAAAAAGTGAGTCAAAATGATTCAGACCTTATCTGGCTCATATCCGACTAAACATCCCTTATTTTTTCATTCGTAATGAAAAAAATGTTCAATAATAAATAAACCAGTGCCTTTTACTTACAGCTTTACACTGAGGTATCACATTACGCAGGCTGACATACGTTTATGGCAACAAAACGCCGACAAAATTATTTCTAATAAAGGAAACAATAAACTTATATAAAATTTTAATTTGCCCTTCGAGACAAATGATAGCATAAGGTGACCAAACAAAATTGTGATAAGGCTTAAAAACCTTTTAAAGAAAGGCAATATCAATAGCATTGAATTTCTATGTAGACAGCTTAGAATTGTAGTTTACTTGGTCGAAAAAAATATATACAATTAGAACCTTTTTTGACCATGTTTTTGGGAACTCTCCTTCACAAATCACCCTAATCTGGGAAGCTGAATAAATAAAAGGAGATACATATAGTCTGTCCCTGTTTCTTGAGGCCATTTTCGTTTTCATCTAAATAACGAAGCTTTAGATTGTGTTCATCATGAAGTTTGTTGTACTTCTTCTGGTCACTTTTCTTTTTCATGATGGTAAGCTCTAATGTATCATAGAATTTAAGCCTTTATAACCTTGTTTGCAAAGAGCGTCACGAATTTGTGACTGGCTTTTAATGAATTGCAAAGAAACTTCAGTTAATCGGTCGAAGAGTTAAGAGGAAGCGAGAGCGCACACACACGGCTTTAACTGCAGCAAATTGGTGTTCTTAGGGTTGCTTTGGGAAGGTTTATTGCGTTAGGCGCCTAGCTAGATTTGCAATGAAATGCTAGTTTACAGCAAAGTGCGGTCTCTTTTTAATTGAAATGGGATAGTATTTCAATGATAACGTAGCAGTAAGAAACATCAAGTGCATTTCTTTTTCGTTTATTACCTTTTTATGAAGCAAAAGGGAACGAAGTGTTGTCCTGTTTGCATTGCTCGAGTTTCCTGTCAATGGATGACTGCACTGAAAACCAACGAGAGCAAATCTGTTTTGGAGAAGAAAACCGCTGTGGAACGTTCATCGCCCACTCCCCTGGACTGCAAGGCTACGCAAAAGGATGCTTAACTGACTTTCTCTGCCAGGAATACCAAGCCCAGGGTTACTGTGAGCAGAACCTGGGAGTTGAGTGTGAAGTAAAATGCTGCCAGAGTAACCTGTGTAACTACTAAACTCCCAGTTTCCACTGGCAGCTTCATATTCTTGTTGCGATACACCAGAAATAAACATTCAATCGCTGAATATGCTTTATCAAACATATTAATCTTAAATGTTTAGTTTAGAAAAAAACATACATATATATATCAGAACAACGACCCATTTAACACAACAATTTCGTTCCTTAGAAGTTCGGTGAAGTGTAGTGAGCAGATTGCCTGTAGGCCTTAGCCATCTTGTACATAAAAGGCTGCAAGGATACATTTTCCTCCGTTCAATTTTAAAGCTGATAACCGTGAATTAAATCGGGTAGTCTGATCGTCCGGGTGAGGGTGTTCCTGAGAAGGACTAATTTCATTAGGGGTGACTGACTTTTCGAAAACCTGACTGAGTTGATGTGACTCTAATGACGTATTCCGCGCAGGTTGTCGAAACATAGGCACCACTACCTGCAACAGTCTTACTAAGGACTATCCACCATCACCCAGACGATAAGAACACATGATCAAATCTTAACCCCGGGCTGAAGCCATTCACTGAACTATGAATTAAGTTGTTCGTTATTCTTTATTAAAGCAGAATCCTACTTCGTTTGGCTGAAACAAATAAACCTAAGGGAACAAAGGAAAATTTGAAATACATAACATTCTTGAAAACAATGGCGGGACATTTTGTTTTCATTCAAATCCGAAACCCAAAGTATTTTAAAAAGGGATAATCTTCCCCAGTTTCGTTTTTCATTTTATCCTTGCGATAGAATGCCGCAAAATGCATATAAGGAAAGATTATCATCAGTTAGCAATTGGTTCATACGTTGCGTGCGTTCATCGAGATATGAAGCACGCGGGAAGTTTGGAGAGCACGAAAGATGCGTAAGAGTTACTCGAGGCGTAGCCGAGAGCAACTCTAGCTTCTTGAGTGCTCTCCAAACTTCCCAAGTGCTTCATATCTCGATGAACGTACAGCTGATGTATGAACCAATTGTTTTACAACATTTTCAAACCGATGGAAAATTTTTTTTCGCGAGGGATTTGTTTGCTGACGTCATGAGCGTGCAAAATAGGAAAATGAAGCACGCTCGCGCAATTGAATTTGATTAGACAAATTTACTAGCTATGTTATAAAGAAACTTGATAATGTCGACTTTACATTTTATTCTTAATGATTTCCTTATTAGCGATTTTTCACAGCCGATACAATCTGACCTCTACTTTGAGTGAAGGATTTAATTAAGGCAATACAAACGCAACAATGAAAAGGTGGCATACATCACGAACTCAAAAACAATGTGTTGTATTTGGTTCCGGTACCAGAATTCCGGAAGCGTAACGTTGCCCTTAAACTTCTTGAGGTAGAAATTTGCGAAAGTAGACGAAAAATAATTTTCCAAGATTACATATGATCAAAATGAGTTTTTAATGTAGATTATCATTTGCATGAATAGCCAGAAAACAATTTGAAATAAAAAGCGGTCAACCAAACGTACAGCTAACCATGCAAATCGAGCGTACGTGATAAACAGAATGTCGATAGAGGCACGAAATAGTTATGAGCAGTACTGAAAAAAAGGCTCAGAAGCTGACATTTTTACCGAAAGCTCTAAGTCAGGCGAATCTCTACAGAAGTAGCTTTAGTATTATTTCCTCACTCAAGGTCTTCGTCATGACCCAAGTTGTACGTGATGTCCTCCCTTGGGGTAATATTCTCCTCGGGCTATTTGTGATAGAATGTCTTATTAAGGCACGCAACATTGACAAATACTGTAAGGAATCAAGTTCCACTATTTTTACAAATTCTGTTCACAGAGTCTCTTTGAGTTCATCATCTGCTTGTCTTTTAATCTTACATCTCTTTATTTGACCGACGAGGATTTAAATTTTTTACCAACACCTATCACGTAGTACCCATACGACGTTGCTCCATAAAAACGCCCTGATTGGCTGCAAATTTAGTTAAAAGCTTCGAGTAGTTAACCCTCAATTAGATAATTACTATAAGTTGGAACTGAAACTCAATTCCTGGGTGTCAACTTGTTCGTGTGACGCTACACGTTCACAAAGTGATGCTGCCATGATGACTTTTCTGTGTGTTCTATGGTTCGCAATCTTCACCCTTATAGATGCAGGTGGGTAAATCGTCATAAGGTTGTAGTCGGATTTTAATGGAATCTCTTTTGCGGCAACTTCTTTGGTGTAGTTTTACGTGTACTCCTAATACCCCGAAACTATGGTGGCAACCGGAAAAAAAAGTTCTAGTTATTTGTCGTAATTCTAGTTATTCGCTAAGGATGTAGTCTGAACCTAAAAACGGCGCTTAGCTGAGATACTCCGTTGAGTAAATGTGTTTGTTAATGAATTAACAACGGCAATCTCAGTATCTGTGTATATTTCATTGTATCTGTGTATAATCCATCTGTTGATTAATTTAGTTGTTATTACCGACCAGCCGCATTCCCTGGCTTAATTCTTCTCATTTTTCGCAGGTTCAAGTCATCAGTGTTACAGCTGCGAAGGCACCGAAAGCCAGCTCTACACACCCGCCCAGTGCAGTCAGAATCAAGTCAATACCACTTGCCTTGGTCAAGACGATATTTGTATGCATGTTAGGGCCACTTACCGAGAGTACAACGAAACCACGGAGGTGGAATTTAAAGGTTGTGTACCCGTAGACAGCCTTACATCGAAATACAACGAGATCTGTAATCAATCTATCGAGTGCAGCCACGTTTGCTGCCGAGAGAACTTATGTAATGAGAATATCAATCAGGGTGAAGGCTGTCTTAAATGTGACTACTGCCCTGGGCCCGAGGAAAGTCTCGTTTTTAACCATTCTACTCCTTTAAATACGTCTTACACGAGTCATCAGTGTAACAATGAGTCAGAAACAATGATTTGCCCACCTTGGAATTTCTGCGCCAGATTGTACAGAAAATTCCAAAACTTTGAAGTGGAACGGCGTTTTTGCACCTCTAAGAAGCACTGCGACGATCTCAATGAACTTTGTCAGGGACCCAATACCAGGAATGATACATATTGCCATGTTCAATGTCGTCAGCGCGACATGTGCAATTCGACTTCGTGTGTTCACCTAGCACTACTTTCCATTTTTGCTGCAGTATTATTTGGTATGCTCAGCGAGTAGGAAAATATCATTTGGTATGAAACAAGCTTTTTTGAACATTTATTTACTTCACTGCATATCTACTCTAACCCAGAATAACAAAATATACATCTTATCTATGGTGGGAGTTTTCCCTTTGTTCTCGCTTTACTTTCTTTCCGAATTTTTTCCTTCATTATCAAAAAATGGAATTGATTGATTGTTAAAAAGTAATTTTCAACAGCCCAGCTAAAACACTCGATCATGTTCTAGACTCGCTTCGCAAGCACTCCTTAGGCTACCTGAACCACAAGCAAAAGTCGATTTTCTCTCTCTACCGAGGGTGGAACGGTCAATTTTGCTTGAGTGTATCACTATGGAGTAAGAGGTTTTTCACTATAGGGCTGCATTGGGTAAGTAAATCGTATGTAAATTAATTAACTATACCACTCAAAGTGCAGAGAAAATTGCCTTCTACCCAAGCCTCTTCCGTGACCGTGAACAGTCTTTGCATCCAAACATAGGCAGAAAGAAACGAAATTGGAAAGGCAGGTGGAAAACGCTCGTTTTACCCTGAACCTATTCCTAGCGTAATGCGCGGGGACTTTGGAATTGAGACATTCCTAACGAGCAATGATCTTAGATTGTATTAGTAAGATTGTATAAGTATAAGTATTAGCTTCTGTAAGGCAGTAATTCTTAACTAACTTACTTAATATGTGTGTGCGTGTGTGTGTGTGTACGTGTGCGCGGTCAAAGTTAATTACCATAAGTCCATATTGTAATTCTAATATAAGATTAGTTATTTTAAGTGAGAAAGCCTGACTTGTTATAAGCCTCGTGGTTTCTTTCAGGTTTTCTCGCCATTTATTTTCTGTCATCAATTTTCTTCATTTTTTTTTTCCATGTGTAAATGTCGTATATGGCAAATAAATATTGTATATTGTATTGTATATTGTAAACTGAGGGTTAAAAAATAGTCAATCAGATGGATTTTCTGGGCGCAAACCGCCTCCGCGTGGACAACAGTTGAAATCCTAGAGTGTAGCATGACAGCACGGGGGCCCAAGCTCTTTGTGAGAGGATAATATTGTAAAGCTCCGCTCTGTAACCCCGTAAGTAATACAGCAAATAAATTCTAACCTTCAGATAGCGTTACTTGTGTTATTTTTGTTCTCTGGTGGCGGCTCCAGGTTATTTCCTCGAGATTCATCCCACTACTGTCCGAAGAAATAAAGGGAGGAAGGCTTTGTAAAAGCAACCGACTGATCCACTCTCCGCGAAAATCGCTCGATTATCCGACGAAACCACGTCTCCTTGCTTCGAGACTTTGCCTCATTAAAACCAGATAGTTGTACTATAAGTTTATCTAAATCAAATTCCATAAAAGTTCTGACGTGGAGGAATCAATCCAGCGAGAATTCCACATGACCGGCCATTCAAATCCACGGTAAGAATTACTTGTGTAGTTCGAAGACCGATATTACACAGTTGGCCTGGGTACAATCGACGTTTGAAACTTCTCACTCGAAGAACTTGATTCTGCACACTGAAAGAGAGAGAGCAAAAAATTCAGCTTCATTAGATACAAACCAAGACATAGACAGCGAAAGATCAGGAATTCAGAGTGAGGGATCCTAAAATCAGAGAATCTTGAAATAAGTTAGGTCCACCTTGTGCAAATGCAGTATCCTAGCTTTTCGAACTGCAACCGTCTCTATCTCTCGGCGCCAAAATGAAAACACACGACCTTAGTTGTGAAACTACTGAGACTCAAGAAGGTTCAAAAGAAAAGGCGAACCACGCATGCATCAAATTCCATCAAATTCTCTGGCGGGAAAATTAATTATCGTACCGAATAAGAACTCTAGGTTCGACTGATGTGATACGCAGAGGGAGCTGCTAGGACGCACTAGCAAAAGAAGGACGAATTTTGGAGAGAAATTGCTTTTAAAACAAAATTGAATCATTAAAAAATTCACTACATAAAGTTGAGTAAGCCAATCGATAGTTTACTATGGTTTCGTCCGAGTTAAAGATCTACTTTTACCAGTATACACTTTAACATTCCCGAATCCCTACGTCCGTGTGTCTTTCAAGTCGTGGTGGGACTTCCACGTAACATGTCTAATGCTGTCCTTGACAATTTTGGGAAAATTATCAGTCATTTCAAGCATTGCACTTTGTTGGGGTCAAATTGGTAAATCCTACTTGGCTCATGGAAGGGCCAAATCGAGAAAAAGTTCCAAAGTGGAATTCATTTGGACCAATTCAGAGTTTGGAGGGGTCTAAATGGTACCTTTCTGACCCGTTTTGGCTTAAATAGTTTGAAACGACCCTCGACGGGCCAAATTGGCCCTCAAAACATTAGCGCCGATTTGGCTTATGGGGTCAATTTGGCTCTCTTCATTTTACAGTACAGCTACAACTGCATGGGAAGTCGGAGGACCATTTGAAAGAAAGACACATGTACTTGCAACATAACAATTTTATTAAACCTGAATTTTAATTCTTACCAAAACAAACAAGGAATGCAATGACTTCAATTCAGGAACATTACCAAACAGGACATTGAAAATATACACTGTGTTAAATTCGCTCCTTCTGTCATGATGGGATGGGATGGAATAAAAACGGATTGCACGGAGAACACACGAGTCAGTTAGGTTAATCCCGAAAGAAGAAGATGATCCGGGAACGTTTATCACAACTTAATTAATTCAACAGTCCACTGTTGAATACATGCATGCATGAGGTCACATTCTGTAACACAACAAACAACTCTTAGTGCGACTATGGAATAAGTTAAAGCATTTTATATAATCTTCACTGCTTTATGTATGCTACGAAGAGGTAAATAGACTAAACTTCTTTGCGTTACATATTTCTAAATAAGGTAGAGAGGAAAACTTCCTCTCCCTTTATGATTTTCATAGTTTCGGAAAGCAGTCAACTGAGCATCAACCACAATAAGTAATGCTCCTCTGAGGCTACGAAGATGTCTCGAAACCTGGAACAATACAAATGAAATGAAATAAAACTTAAGGGAATTTTAAAGGACCTCATATACAAGAGAGCAGTAAACAAATCACTAAGGTTTATTTTCACTGATCTTTCAACACAAATCATAGCTTCAATAATAGAGAAAATCGGAAAACCAATGCACTCCTAACGAGAAATCATTAGTGTGTAACGTAGTGAACTGTCTTTGAACTACATCAGAAACGGTTTCTAAAGGATTGAACACCATAAAAATATCGTATCATCATACAATTACTGCTACTGCGTAGGTGATAAATCTTAGTGTAATGTTATTGGAATTACATACGTACGTCCCTGTGAAATAAAAGGGAGTTCTACCTGCCAAGTCACTTTCTATCATCACCGTTGCCAGGTCTTCTGAACAGCAGTCTATGTTGCATTCCATTCCCTCTTCTTGATCACAGATACCAACAGCCTTATCACAAGCAGATTTTTCCGTGCAAACATTATTCATGGTACAAACAAACAAAGAGACAAATTAAGGAAAGGAATAAAGTTAGTGGAGGATGGATGGGGGGAGAAGGATAAAAATATAACAACTCTTGAGTATAAATATACAACGTCATTTAGCTGAGAATTTCAAAGGTGAATAAGTATTCGTAGCCAACAAATCCATTGAGAGATTCTTGTTAGATCATTTCTCATTGCTATGTATCATAGACCAAAGGCAGGGTGTTTTATTAGTAAAATGTTAATCACATTTGTTTTTAGAGCCTACCAGTAAAGTAAAAATAAAAATATTCAAAAGAAAAGCAAGCTGATGGTCTTACTTATCAAATCGAAGATTAAAGGAAATTTCATGAGATAGGATAATAAAATTAATAAATTAAATCAAGGTAGCAGAAAGTAGTTGGATAAAATTTGATTGGATTTAGAATTTTTATTTTGTAAAAGTACCGAAAGATTCGCTTATAAATAAACAAACAAACGCATAAATTGTAAGTAGCACTAAATTTGATGAAAATTCTAAAAATTGTACGATTTCAAATCATTGAACAACACTAACAACACTTTTAAGACATATCAACACTTCAAAATACCGTTTAATGAAGATTACCCGACATCGCAGAGCCTCAGTTGAAGTCAGAAAGCTTAGTTTTGTTTTTTTCAGCCATGATTCGCATCGCGTTTGAGACTAATTTCGTCGCTTGAAAGTACTAGATGTTCATTGTTTTTCGAAATTAGTATTACTTACATGTTTATTTTCATTTTGAGCTCCAAAAGGTCTGCTCTGGGCCCCTCTGGATACCAGCCTAACGGCTGATTGGCCCACTCTGGTAAAATAAAGTTTATACCTTACCTTACCCTACCATATCTATCTCAATCGGGATAGAGCGGGAAAAAATCTCGAAAGTTTTGAAACCTCGCGGCTATACTTGTCATGTGATGGATGCACGGTCGTACTGTACATAAGGATTTTTTTACCGCGGTAGGCCTTGGGAAATAGGTAGACCTTGCGTGCACGCTATGATGTAATTTAAATTGTCGAGGGAGTTTAGAATCTTTGTTCAATCGCTTGGATCTAATGTGTCCAAGGGTACGTGATTAGATGCTCGATTGTTCTAGATACTCTTCGCAAGCATTCCCAAGAATATCTGAAACATGAATGTACAACAACAGCTTCCATTTTTCGCAAAATATGCTCAGAGGTTGTATAAGTAGTTCGAGTGAAGCTTAGAAAAATTGTGAGCTTTGAGGAACAGATAATTTCAAGTTTCCCGAATGAAAATAACTTACGTGTACGGGCTCAGTGTTGCATGTTTTCTTTGTTGACAAGCAAACTGGAGTTGTCTTGACACTTGTTACGCTCTAGCCGGCCTGTCTCCGTTTTCACGGTTAGTCAGTTTCAAATAACGAGGTTTTCTGCCTCCAAAACAATGTTTGACGTCATGTCACGAAATAAACCTCTCTTACATCCTGATTTGCATAAAACGGTTACAACTTCATGGATTGTCATAACATAACAACTCGAGCATACTTGAACAAGAGACACAGGTTCTGGAACGTGGACTTTGATTCTGAACGCTGAAGACCGAAACTAATTAACTCGGAAGGTGCGATGACATGGAACATTGCCACACAGAACATCGGAAATATACCCTAAACAACCCATGAATCCGACGGTGGCATTGATGAATGTATTTCTTATCATCTTCATTGCTTCATGTATGTTACGAAGGGGTAAGTACAGGGATCAAACTCCGTTGTGTTACGTAGTTCTAAATATTTGTAAGCAGGAAAAATTTGTCTGTATTTATGTTTTGCATATATTCTGTTGTAGTCAACTTGCATTAACTCCAATGAAAATGCGCCTCTTGGGCTGCGTGATAGATGTCGTTCAAACCTTTAAATAAATAACATAAGATGACATATAAGGGAATTGAGGTATGACCTCAAGTACAAGAGAGCTGTAAACAACAATCTATCGTTATTATAACTCATTTCTTAGCGTTTTCATTACGAGAAATCAGTAATATGAAACGAACACGACGCCGGTTGTTAGATCTACGTGTAAACAGTTTCTGATATGATGGAATTTTCTAGTAAGAACTGCATAAAATTATGACATGGTTGCCATGTGAACTTTAATATATTGCATAAAAATATGTTATCGTCATATAATTTTTCATACTTCTTGATAAATTTTAGTGCAACATCATTGATATGAGATCGTTTAGTTTAAAGGGCTACTTCGCAATTGCAACGGAATAAATTTTAATATTTTGTCACGTTCGCTCTCCGTGGATATACAACATCAACCATTTTTCCTTACATGAAATTCACACTAGTTCATTCTCACTGCGGCTCGTTCTGCGTTACCTCGACAGCAGGAAAAAAGAGGCTAACGTTTCTAAACTTTCTCTTCATCTCTCTTTACAGTAAATTGCCTCAAATGCTATGAATGCAAAGGTCCAGATGATGGTCGACCGTACCCACAAGAAATGTGCGAAAGAGAGTCAACCATTATCACTTGCTTAAATCATTCACTTTGCGGCAGATACCTCCACAGGATTAAATCTGGGGCTTTGGTGAACGAAGTCGAGGCAAGATCATGTGTAGTAGATTGTAAAAGTATCGAGAATTCATGCCGGGCCATAATCCTTGCGGGTGGCAACTGCACTCATTCATGCTGTGACAAAGACTTGTGTAACGGTGGAAAAAGTGCAGCTGTGAAAGGATCGCAAGGGTCTTTACTCGTGACAGCAATGGCTCCTGCCATAGTATACTTATCTACGTTGAAAGAAGAGGGCTAACATTTTTCGAGTATTTCTTTTTCAACATAGCTCTATAATGTCTAATTTTAAGCTACACGTTGTACTTTCCTCTCAGCGATAATTTTTTTCAAGGATACACAAGGACAATAATCTCAAAGGCAAAGAGAATTAACAGCATTTTACTCGATTGACATTCGCAGTGTCGATAAACGACAAAACTAACTAAACGCGTTAATTAAAATGCGCATAATTCCAGAGACGCTTGATCAACCGTGTACATCATAGTTATGAAATGTTTCATATGTATAAATAGGAAACGTTGTGCTACAAAATCTGCAGATCAGCTTGTGAGTTGAGTCTATATGTATTTAAAACAACTTTCATGATTATCTGGCTTTGGAGTTTAGGGAGTAGTATTAATGCACTCACTATAATACAATTTTCGACGAATCACGGATAACTAGTATTTTTTCCTTTCCAAGGCGTCACGCGAAAAGAACAAGGCCTTTATGACAAAATAGAAGACAAGAGTATTGCAACTGCGACTTAAGACTACCGCAAAAAACTAGCTTTTAAACTACAAACGTTCTTAAAAATTCACAACCAAGCCCCAACAACACAGTCACAGATCAGCAATCATATCAAGCGTGAAGGTTATATACCTAATATTTATTTTTCTCCAGTCGTCGATAACCAGTAGCAAGAGAAAATAATGGGACCACATTATCTTCTCTTTCTAGTAAGCATCTTGAGCATCAAGCAACAATCTCAATATGAAAGGGGCATATATAAAAGTTATGAAGGATTTTTATTTTTCATCTTTTGCTACCCTTTATGTACGGGAAGTAAAGACGCTTAGGAAACTTTCTCAACTATAGGTAAACCTGTCATTTATTGAATGTTTGATTAAGTTGATGCAACCTGACAGGACATCAGTGTGAATAACAGCATATTCACTGTTGAATTGAGTCTCAGTGAGTTCTTTGTGCACAAATATAGAGGGGATAATGAGATAAAATTCAACTCAAAGATTGAGATGTTTTTACTAGTAACTCTATTCTTGTCTGTTTCAAGTCAGTGTTCTCAATAATGCTTTAGGGTGTGTACACTTCAATTCCTCTTATCACTGTGACCACATTCATCGACACAAATGTTTCATAATTCTTACCTTTAACACCCATAAAATAGAGTTTCAGTGTTATAACCATTGAAAATAGTCCCTCGTTTTGTCCAAAATGCAAAATGTTTTTTCTGACTTATAAACCGTTCTCTTGGAAATCTTTTCACGACTGATTCATCATACACACAAATAATTCCAATGATGTAGTTACTTTCTTTAAGTGGCTGTAAAAATTAAACTAGTTATAACCATTACAATCTCCCCAGATGAGATTGGTGCATTTTGCTGCTTTATTTTTCACTAAACATTTAGCACAGTTGTAATTGGACAGTGTACGAAGCAGACATTTGGCCATAATCAGACAGTTGGCTGTAATCGGATAGTTGATGAAGCCAATCATACCAATACCGCTAAGCTAAATCTACCAATCACAGAATTGATTACAATAACCATATCAGCAATCACTTATCCTGAAACAAAAATGGAGAATTTCCAAAATGGAGGAATTTTTTACTTTAGACATTGTCTCTACCGGCGATGTTTGTCCTAAATTTTTCTTTTTTGGGGGAGGAGGGAGAAGGAAATTGTAACGGCTATGATTTCTTGGTAACAGGGCTTTGTGTTGTCCAATTCTGTCTGTAATCATATTCGTGATTGACAAACGGATCTTCCGCCTCGGGTCGTCTGGTTTTTTTTATCACTCGTATGATTACAAACCGAGTTGGACTCCACTCAGTCCTTTTGCCGTTATAAATATCTAAAGTCAAACACAAGCGATAGTAATGTTTTTTGGGTTTTTGAGAATCCACAAAAGTATTGTTAGAATCCAGTATGGTAAGACTGCAGGTCTGACATTACTTCCAACAGTGTATCACGCAACTTGATAGGAAACAAAAAGAAGAAAATAGATTGAGAAAGTGAATTTTTCTGTGTACGTTTTTTATCTGTTTATGTAATGAACCCCATGAGGAATGGAACTCCAGACTTGCATTTCCACGCTCTAGGCGCTGACCTACAGAGATCTCAAGGGAGAGTTAGTTCACTACCACGATCTTCGTAACAGCTGTTAAAAAATTGCCCACACCTCCTTTCCCGCCTCCCCCACCCCTCCCCCTTTTTTTTCCAATTTTGGTAAGGAGAAAATCGGATGCCACAGCTGCCAAACATCTGCCCATGTGCGAACGTCATGCTAACTAGGTGGCGAGTTTTCAGGCGGTCAGAACCAACTTGTTATAACAAACCACACAAACCGGTAAGACAAGGTCTTTTTAGAGCGTATGATTTTTTCTCAAAACTGAATGATAAATTGACAGAATACCCGCACTTGAACAAGCTTTGTGTTCATAAAGTTTCGAGTTTTCCTTTCCCTTTTTTGTTTCTTTTCACAGATTTCTATGAGTGTTTCAATTTTCTTTCTCCCATTTTGCAAAGCGTTTGTTTCTCGTGATAAAATGTATGCAAACATTTCAGCACGCTCATTGGCTGAGAAAACGTAAATAAATCCCGAAACAGCGCTGAAAGTTGAAATTGAGTGCAAAAAGTTGAAATTGAGTGCAGTGAGTTAAAATTAATAGCAAAAAGTTGAAATTAAATCGATTGACAGGTAAATCTCGAAAGCACAACAAAACAAAATGGCGGAAAGACGAGGAGAAAGTGACAACGTTTAATTCATAGTTTGAGGGATAATAACAAAAACAAAAAGACCGAACAAAGTAAAAACAATTGGCTAAAATTCTGAAAGTCTTGGGGCTTCCAAAGACGTTTCTGAAAGTATGAACCAGAGGCACTCGAAATCATCCGATTTCTTGTACAAATTTCGCGCGGGAAATTAGCGCGCGGCCTGCCGGAAATTGATTCCATCGCGCGAGCCTAACATTTGACCGCTGGTTAATGTCAGTATGTAGATTAATATCGAAGTTGAATGTTGAGCTTGCATTGGTCGTGGAATAAAGAAGAGCGAAAAAGGCGCTGAACCTTTTTTCCCCTAAAAGCAAGAAGAGTTCAATGATCTAGTGGTAAAATCATGCACAGTGGGACTGAACATGTAGCCAACTGTGGATAATGCCATCAAACCAAAATTAAAGAATGCGAAAAAGCTAAAAGAACAGAGCAATATAGGCAGAAAGTGTAGAAAAAAACAAAAACAAACAAAGACCGCAAAAACAAAAAACAAAACAAACAAAAATTATGCGATGAAAGATCATGATTTTTTTTTCACAAGCAGTGGCCAATGTATTCTCAATCATTTTTAACCCGTGATTAAAGTTTACATCACTAACCTCTCCCTTGGCTGTTCGTGCAAGGTTTTGAAGCACTGGCAAAGAAATCTGATAGGGTTACAGAGACGAACGTTCAGAAATGTTAAATTACAGCACCCAAAGAGGAATACATCTTGATTACATTGAAGCAAACTGACTATCTAACCATGTTTTAAAGACATTTCACATGGAAAAAAAAACGCAATGATCATCGAGATGATGACCCATCAAAAAACAAGAAAAAAAAACAAAAATTAAACAAGAGGTTAAGTAAGCTATGAAAGTTTACTGTTACTTACTGAGTCAAAGATTTCACTTGTTAAACTGTTCGGCTCCATGACGATGGACTGCAACAGTCTTGAGAGGAACAGTGACAAATCATATTTTATACATTCATGGAGACACTAAGAAATATTCTCACTTATTCAAAGGACTACGACGTTAAAAATGTAAGTGATACAATTAAGTGATCTGCTCTTTACAACGGAAAAGTGATATGAAGGAAATAGAGAAGAACAATTCGTTTATTTACCTGGCAGCATTAAGGCTTAGCTCAGAATCATTTTCCCCTTTAAAATCAAAACAAAAACAAATCAAGCGACCTCGAGTGTTAAGTGTCATGAAAATAGATTATTCAAGCCAGAGACGTCATAACAATTCACGTCGTAACAATTCAGTCTACCAGCATCCAAATTGAAGTTCATAGAACGCATTCTCATCATTTAATGGAGCTAAGAGACCCCAGCTGTTATACATATGTAACTTGCAACATTTTCCATAAACCAAAAGTAAGTAGCTGTCGGTTTTGTGATGCATGAAAGCGTTGAGGTACGGACCCGAGAAAACGTGCGGGAGAGCCTTTAGACGAAAACACATCGATTGAGAAACTATTTATTGTCTTTAACCACCTCCACAACTCCGCTTTGCCGTAAAGTTTTGTTCATCCGCCGGCCCCTATGGACTTTAAGGTGCGTACGAAACAGCCATTTCCACTATACGCAAACTATCTTTTCACCGGTAGAAGCAATCAGTCACAGCTCTCACTTTCAAACTCGTAAGTAGTACAAATGTTTGGAGCGGTCTGTCATTTCTCTGCAGCTAGTGACACACACACACAAGTTATACAAACACTGTATATCATCAGTCTTCATCAGCTAGTGACTCACACACACAAGTTCTACAAACACTGTATGTCATCACTCGCCCTTTGAACAAATTTTGGGGAAAACGATAAACGTTGTGAATGTTCCGATCGTGATTGTGTTGTGCTTACTATTTTGATTTCGATCTCCACCGAATCGTGACCATTATAGCTCTGGTTCACATAACAATGCTAACAGAGCCAGCCATAAACAAAAGAACTGGAAATCATCTTACCCTGAATTGTCTGCATGAGGTTGCCAAGAATTCCTCGCTTTTTAGTGATGTGCTGGAGCCCTGAGATGTTGATACTAAGAATAACCATGAAAGTAAATTTTTAACTTCACGAAGACTTGTCTGGCCTACGTGATATGATATGATGATAAACTTATGACAAAATTAACTAGATGAATTTTTTCCAATTTGCTATATTGGAATCTTACTTGTGATCAAAATGACATCTACTTTTTTTTAATCTATTTCTTATCTCATATTTATCTGTTCATATATTTTTGTAGAAGCTACAGCTTCAACTGGGAAGAACGGCTACTACGGGTAGTTCGGACTACTCACTGAACTCAGATGATAAAGTCATATATATATATATCTCGTCTGAACGAACGAGCTACGTCACACAGTGAGTTTATGAGCTTTATAAGTACGTTGATTCATGCATTTTACGATAGCTAAGCACATGTTCAATGAACCTTACCTAACATTATACAACGCCATCAGTATCAAATTTCTCATCTTAACATTTTTTCCTGCAGACGATTCACTCAGCACTTTCATAAACGTGTCAATCAATACACGCCCACTGTCTTTCGTTACCAGGAATTCTCGACCTTGCGCAGCAGCTGCCATGTTTGTAATGATTCCAACGAGAGCCAAAACAAACTGAAATTCTTCTGAGTTTTCTTTCGCTTCCTCTCCTCCAGCGCAAGAGTCAAAGTAACTCTCAACAGTTCGTGATGTGATTTGAAGAAACTCTTCCGCTTTGTTCTGGATTTGAGAAAGCGGTAGCAACAAGCTGTCATTCCCACCAGAAGGAATGGGATAAAGGTTTTCAATTTCCTTCTCTTTTTTAACGTTTAATCCATTTAAATTTAATGCCATCCAATTCTAATATCTAAGGCGCAAGTCTCAAGGCAAGGATTGCAATCAGGCCAAGGCCTTGTGCTCACGTTTACCGGCCAATTTCTTAAGCCGGCGGAAAAATCTAAGTGACAGTATGGCCTTAATCGTTGTTGGAAAAAGTAAAATTAAAATAATTTAAAAATCCATTGGGGCAAGAAAAATTTGAAATCCTAAATAAGTGACTGCACTTTCCGAGGCATTTGCGACTCTAAAGGGCTGAGTACTGGAGACAAGATTCAAAAATTCTCAAGGACCTGACCCTTGGAAAGCTCCGGGTCTATTGTCGGTTCAGGCAAGATCGGGTCCGCTACGGAATACTGTATAGTAAAAATCTAACAAGATTAAAGCTGGTAAGCATATGATTGTTCAATATAAAAGCAACAGAAGTGAAGAGTGAACGAGAGAAGCCACAGCCACATCAATGAGAGCTGAAAACATGAAAAACTTGCTCATAAAAAGTTCCAAATCTAACAGTTTCTGTATGCCTCTTAAGAGAAATAGAAGGTACAATGTTAGTGCAAAATTTAGCTTTTTACCACACAGAATGAACCAAGATTTAACAGAGACCTTGCATCATATTTTACAAATGTTATCAACTTACCCCTCCGAGCAGGGAAGTAACAGACTCCTGCTGACGAGATACTCTCCATAGCAGAGTACAAACGGCTGCACCCATACAAGAACAATAATCAGATTGATCATTCATTTGTTGGCTTGCTTCTGACAGCTGACACTGAAAGAAAGATTTTCTTATTGAAATGTTCACTTACAAATATTTTAGAGAATCTTCACAAGTCAAACTGTGATGATTATATCTATCTGCATATTTACAATTTACAAACTTCTCTTGGCAAAGACAATTTAAACATATCTTCATCCCTTTTTTTTCTCTACAAACTACCTGTTGGAGTCAGTTGACAAATTAGCCACTCAGCAGAAAGAGCTTTTCAGATTCCATTGGATTTTGTACAATCCAAAGTGAATAAAAAAAATGAAAAAACAAGAAAAAAAAAAAAGAGAGGTTTTAAGTTAACTAAATTACATACATTACCTTAAGCACATATTTTTCCTGGAAAGAAAAAAGAAAAAGCAAAAAATATTGGAAAAACTGATCAGTAGCAATAAATGCACTGTGTATGTTGATATTCAATTTTCATAGATCGAGTGCCCACTAAATTTGACAAAAAGTTTAAATAAGCAATAACATTAGATGAAAATTACATAAAATTACATAAAAACTAAGTAAAATATTTCAAAGCTAAACATTACTTGATGCAGCTTTACAGTTTTCATTATGAAAAGTGTTAACATGAGAATGGTGTAAGGTAGAAGGAAATATTTCTCTTGTCTGAATAAAATATAGCTCTGCATGGCCAACAAAATTTAGCTACAGAATTCTCGAAGTTGCCCAAAATCAGAGATCCTACCTCTTAGGTCAATTGATTGCTTTTGATCAGCATATTATTTGTATACAAAAACAGATCATGTTTATAATTCAGGAGACATACCTCCTTATATCTCTCACCATCCTCAAGAAGGCTGTTATTTTGTTTCTTCATTGCCTCAATCTCTGAATCATGGTGCATTTTCATCTGATCAAGCTCAACCCTTAGCTTTCTGTTCTCTGCCTCCAAGACCTCAAGTTCTGATTGTTACAAATTCAAAAAGATCAAAACAAACTGTTTATTTTGTGCATATTGTTTATGTTGTGCATCATATCTTTTTGTTTGCCTTCACATTATTTGTTCCTGCAGTCAAGGACTGAGTCATATTATGGAATATTTAGCAATTCCTATGACAAAACAACTAAATGATTTGACCACATGCTCTTTAACTAAATGATAATTAGCTTCTTGTGATTTAAAGCCCAGAGAAAATTCATACCTTGCTCACAATGATCCAGTTTCTTATATAACCCTACAAGATCAGAATTTAAAACCTAGAAAAAATTTGAGATAAATATAATCAACAACATTATATCCTGCAAGAAAAAAAAAGGCAAACAATGCACATACTTTGTTAGTGCAAGAGAAATTCAGAGATGTAAGAGTCTGGGGAAGCCAGTGATTAATTTAAAAGGAAATTTTACCCTTAAATCAACAGCTGCTAGTATTTATGTCAAGAGTATTATTATAATTTTCTAGCCTATGTATGAGACATGTTTCAAGTTGCTGGTTCTCCTAGGGTTGGTAGGAGCAATAATCCCTTAAGAGCAGATCATACAAGCTACAATTCTTCATGCTCTTCTCTGCATTTGCTGACTTTTGGAAATGGTTCTTGCTTGACATTTTGATACATAAACTTCCATAATCTCGACTTTAAGTGAAAACACCAACAACATATATCACAATAAATAACACTTCACACTTGAAGGAGGCAAATGGAGATTGAAAATCTATTTATCACTTCAACTGCAAATCCTTAAAGCATTCTTTCTCTTTAAAGTGCAAGTTGGCTGGATTTCACTTTCTAAAACAAAAATTACACCACATATTGAGAAAAAGTTTACCTTTGGCAAAAATTCCTTGAATTGCATAATCTCTGTTACAAGTTGGTCTACATCTGCACGTGAAACCTTCAGAAAATGCTGGTTTCTGTCAGTCTAAAATTCAGAATAAAAAAAATTAAAATGCCAATATAGTTATTATGAGAATCATACAAACAAACCAAAAAATATATAGTTCCATGTACTTATTGATGCCTAATGCAAATATTTTTAGCCAGCTGGCTAATGAAAAAAAAATTTTACATTTTGAAAAAAACTTTCGGTCGAACCGGTTGAGGTTAATTTAAATTGCTCAGGTCTGTTTTTTAGAATTAGTCAAAACTCACTCTCTAAGGCCCCTGCAAGTGTGTTTTGTATGAAAGCTTATTTTGCTTTCATCAATTGGTTGCATAATTAAAGGTAGATCAATCAGTGTCTCACTCCTATCAATTAAATATTGTTTCAGTTTTCTTTCATTCAGAAAAAATAGGGAAGGAAACTTAGCCGGCTCTCATCTAACTGTATACAACACTGAAATCGACTGAAAGCAAGAATACTCGTTAATTACGTAGTCAAACTAGCAGTTCTCCCGTCAACACAGAGAAAATATCACTGATGTATATACACAACTAAAATAACTGAGATTTCATTAATAAAGTTAATTTTCCGGAACAACTGCAGAATACCCTGTCACTTTGGTCCACCTCTTTTACATGCATCGGGAGGCTCTGAAGATCGAGGCATGATACAATAAACGCTATTCTTATTCCATGACATGTAAATGATTGGCAAGGTATTCTGCAGTTTAGCCAATTTCCCAATGGGTAAGGAAAGGGAAATAAACTATCCGAGCAATTACATTATACCCACTTTCATTCCTTTGTCCGCCATTTTGAAACCCTTTCCACTGATGCTCAGTCCTCCTCAGCCAAAAAGGGTGTCTTTGCGTAATCTCGGCCCAGGGATTTCTTGGTGCCACCATCTACAATACTGGCCGCGGGAAGAAATTGAGTAAAGGGACTCACCCTCAGGCCAGAGCCGCAAACCTTTGGTTCAGCATCATCAGAGACCAGTTTTTCTGCTTGGCTGGTAAAACAAACTGGGAGTATCAACGACTTGGGTATCTTTTATCTCAGATTAAGATTATTTTCGTCTCAAAAGCTACTCTTTTTTACTTCGTTGCCAATACTAGTTCTTATCCTGTGTGACCAAAGAATACGATGAGGGAGTGTGGAAACGATTGGGTCTGTTGGGAAAAAGGCTTTCAATCAATCAAAGACTTTTTTTAACTTCGAATTTGAAAAGTTCCTCGTAGACACGCCTGTCGAGATTCAATAAGATTTGGCATGTTTTGCCACCCAGTCGTAGACTAACAGAAAAATAGCAAGAAAACACGAAGCCAGGACAATGTTGAAAGATCAGGAATTTATCCGAAATTTTTACGTTTCGGGTTCCCTGTTGCAACGTGTACTGGACGCTATTGACATCACTTATCCTACAGTTGCAGCTTTATTCAGATGGACAATTGGGTTGTTTCTGTATCTGAGATTCTATCTCATGGCACTTTTCTGATGCCCCAATAAGAGGCGAACTAGTCCGGGTTGTTCAACTGTTGAGATAAACACCTGAGCTAGATTACTTGAACAACACGCTTATGAGGTGGAATTTCCGATATGAACAAGGATTAAACTAGATCCTCACTTGAACCGCTGGAGAGAATGAAAACCATCGTTGCCGGTCTACTGAGTTTACAAGTAGAAAACCTTAGTTCAGTGCTCATTACTATCACTGAGTGTCAAAAGAATACGGAAAACTGAACGATTGCAAAAAAATACCAAAGAGCATTCCCTAAAAGCGGAGAAAAACAAAAACTTTCTCGTTCTTGCCAGTCTACTGGTGTTCACGAACTTTGTTCAATGCTGGTTAAATATTACCACGTGCTGTTTGTCTTTCCAGTGATTTTTTACCGTTTAAATACAAATTTATGCTAGCATTGAACAAGAATTAAGAAAGTACGTTTACTATCAAAAGTGAGAAAACCTTCTAGATACCAGCGAAATGGCCACATGTTGTTTTTTTGTTCAGAAAGCATTTGACCCATTGTTCAAAGCTTCAACCTCAATTTCTAACTTCCATATTCACAGTCATCGCCACATATTATTTCATGAATATGAAGCCACACATTCCATTGAACTTTTTATTCTTTCTCGAAAGATCCAAATAAATACATGATGACCTTGAACTTAACAACAAGCCACCGAAGGTGCATGCGTATGAACGCGTTACAAGTATTTTACAAATCTACAACAATCTAATCTTTCAGATGTCTAAATTACAATCTTTGAAAAGGATTAACACCATCACGTCACCGAACTACATTTTTTCTCAGTCCCACAAACGGGACAAGCTAAATTACACTCGGCCACTCGGACTACCTTCAAGGTAAGACCTGAATGAAACTTTTAAAAACCATCTACAATCAACACTCGAATACGATAAAACACAAAATGACCACTTATAAGCGTGCGCTTCACTTCATTCCAATTCGGTAAAAACAATAGCAAATCAACGACCATATGTGTTTAAAATTAGAGTCAACTCTAATTTGCCAAATTCTAAATGCTAAACTTAATTTTTCAGTTAAATGCACTAATCCAGGTACATCTAGTTTTCAGTGAAAAAAAACAAGAAAATAAATTGAAAAGACTTAAGAAAGAGTCGTATCCTGGCTTTACATAAATAATTCCTGTAGAAAAATATGAAAAACATCCTTTCCACATAATGCAAATATTTTCTCAATGATTGTTCACATTATTTTTCTTTCTCTCTTTCAGGAGATGTAAACTTCATAGAATGCATCTAGCCCTAGCTTCACTGGTAAAATGTGTACGTGTCGGAATGAAAGATCATTATCTCCTGAAACCTTCAACCAAAAAATAAGGTATATATTATTTATTCCTTGAATCGCTTCATAGTTGCAAAAATTAAGCAAATGCCCAGTTGCAATCGCTGTGAAGAAACTGTGTTTATGATATCCCACAACACAACAGAACACCATCAACAAATTCAATACCTCTTTACGGTAGGCAGTACGGCTCAAAAAATACACTTGATACTTAACCCTGTGCAGGGAAAATTACAGTTCAATCAACTGAGAGCAGGATGCGCTTACAATGTCTACGTGATTAAATTATGTACTACATGTGCAGACTGGGCAAGATCAAATAGATAATTTTGCGAGTTTTTACACTTCAAAAAATATGGATATGCGTATGGACCTCAGCTCGCAAACACTCGACCGCAAATCTGACCAAATTGAGACAACGTCCCGCCCTTTTCTATTAAAAAGAGGGAGTGATCTAAAAATGGGCAGAGTTGTTCTTAATAGTACTGCCACAAACCACTTATGACGCTTACTCATTCCTTTCCATCAATATCAGCAAGAAACATCAGTGAATCACGCGGTTGTGAACTGAGGTTCATCTTTAGTCAGTGTTGCAAAGGAATCCAAATCTAAAAGCTTGACTACCGTAGGATCAATATGTCTTTCTACAAGCAAAGAGTCAAGCAAAAAACAACAGGCAAGAAAAGGTCTCATTTACTTAGAGTTAGAGTCCCATTTCTGAAGGTGGCGGAGGCTCACTGCTACCTTCCCCTCCAGAGAGTGCACTTGCTTCAGCCTCTTGAGCCTGCATCTTACGCCTCCTGCTTCGCCGCGCTCTCAGCTTCTCCTGCAAGCCTTGCTCTACACGAGTCTTGTTTAATTCTTGCTGCTTCTCGAACTCTGCCAGCTCCTCTTCGTGTTGTTTCTTTAGTTGATCAATGTTACCAAAGAGATCTTCTTGGTTTGGAGGAGGAGCAAGTTCAGACAAAGGCACAGGTTTGGGCGGGGCATCAGCACTGTCTCCCCCAGCTTCTGCCTCAGCTGGTGCCTCCCCATCTCCAGAGGGTGGAGCCTCTGCAGGTAACCCTTCTTTATCCTCTGGCTCAGGAGCCTGATCATCTCCCTCTTCTTTGGCAACTGCTCCTGGTTTGGCAATGTCAGCTTCTTCAGCAGAGGAGTCATCATCTACGAATTCATCTCTCTTTACTTCCATCTGATCAAAAAACAAAATTACAAGGTAACCATTGAATTTGAATGTTAAGAAATTATGAGGACATATCTTTTGACCCCAAAAATGATGAACATGCTGAAGATCTTTGCAATGAGATACTAAAATGTTACCACTGCATTCTGCCTTGATAAACAGTTACAGCTTTGAAGAGTGAAAAAGTGAATTTTCAAGCTGCATTTTCTATCATTATATTTGCATCATCTAATCATTGCCATCATTTATGCAAGCTAAACAAACCTTGCATAAAAGCCAATAAGAGACCATTACACCACAGAACATGCAGTTTTGCTGCCATAAACAAGTACAAGTAAATATTGCTACTCTACTGGATGGGACGACAGTCCATTTCAAGTTCTCCTAATATTTTGTCAGTTCTTCTTGACAGTTGCAGCCACCTATTTATATTCCTCTCTGACAAGAATCATCACAAGAGAGAAGTGTCTTGCCAAAGAACACAATAAAACATTAATTAACCCTGCATGATGAGAACTCAAGCCTGGACCTTTGGATACAAAGTCTTGCCCACTGACAATTAGGCCAACTTATCTATTACACTAAGGAGAATTTAGGCATAAACCATTGAACCTGCACATGCTGCATACCTCCAGTTCAACTCCGAGTTTTTCCTTCACTTTACTTTTAATCAGATTCATTCTTTCCTCTTTCAGTTCATAGTACTTTTCATGGAATTCCTTCTTCACTTCAGCTAAGTCTTTAGAGATGGTTTCCTCAACAACACGATTAACCCATTGAAGAAGGCTTGAACATTTGGAGAAGATTACACAAAGCACATTATATGTCTTCTGATAACTTGCTGGCACATTGACATCATTGAAAATTGAGTTTGTAATGGCCTTCAAAACCTATAACCAATGAAACAATAATTGATGATCTTAGTAAACAGAATGGGAAATTGCCTGTTATAATGTAAAAATATATATACTCCAATCAATTAACTTTAAAGAATAACACTGTTCAGGTCATGTTTTATTCATCTCTTAAAAAACCCTAATATTTCACTCATGAACAACAAATGAGTGGCTGGGCTACATTTTTCCAAAATGAACAATGGAAAAAATGTCTAATGTAGTCATGGCCTTGAGTTCCAAGTTGACACATTTTTGTCTCAATTGCCAACCTAGCACTTAACTGTGTCCCACTGCATGTACATGTACATAGGATGTGCATATATTATGGAGTGCAATCTTTCTAGCTGACTACTCACGATAAGACAAAATTAAACCCCTAAATTGATGTATCTTCCCAAAGGGTGCATACATTAGTAAATGCAAGTGGGTGGTGTAATCATCAGAAATCGATGACAAACTAGGGGTTTATATATCTGTTATTCACATTGATATCAAGAGCAATTATTTCTAACCTCCAGGTCTTCTGGAGTGCAGTAAGGAGCAGTCACTGGTTTGAGGCTCCCATAAGCACTAGAGATGTTTTGAATTGCTGCAATAATGTGATTTCTTGTTTCTGCAACCATTGTATATTTGACCTGAGGGTAAAGAAATAAAAACATTAGTGATTATCAAATTAGCCCATGAGGAACATGTCAAGAAATTTGAACATCTATTGGAATTGACTCAATTTTTAGTATATCAAAATTCCAGAAGCATAATTTTATACATGAATGATGATATACAATGAATGAAATATGATATACAGACTAAAAGTAACATTCTCACTGGCCATTTGTTTGTAGCCAGTCTACAAGCTTGAAAGGGCTTTTACAATTATTTATGGCTAAATCCAGTTTTTAAGTCAAATGAGCTC